AAAGAAAAAGATACAACGAATGACTTGAGAATCTTAGTTGATACACACACACACACACACACACACACACAAAAACGAATCCAACATTTATTTATAGAGATAATATAGGTACTTGTATATTTACATAGTCTGGGTTATTTACAGACATTTACGGTACTTGTACATGTACATAGTCTGAGTTATTTACAGACATTTACGGTACATGTACATAGTCTGAGTTACTTACAGACATTTACGGTACTTGTATATGTACATAGTCTGAGTTATTTACAGACATTTACGGTACTTGTACATGTACATAGTCTGAGTTATTTACAGACATTTACGGTACTTGTACATGTACATAGTCTGAGTTACTTACAGACATTTATGATACTTGTACATGTACATAGTCTGAGTTATTTACAGACGTTTACGGTACTTGTACATGTACATAGTCTGAGTTACTTACAGACATTTATGATACTTGTACATGTACATAGTCTGAGTTACTTACAGACATTTATGATACTTGTACATGTACATAGTCTGAGTTACTTACAGACATTTATGATACTTGTACATGTACATAGTCTGAGTTACTTACAGACATTTATGATACTTGTACATGTACATAGTCTGAGTTACTTACAGACATTTATGGTACTTGTACATGTACATAGTCTGAGTTACTTACAGACATTTATGGTACTTGTACATGTACACAGTCTGAGTTATTTACAGACATTTATGGTACTTGTACATGTACATAGTCTGAGTTACTTACATACATTTATGGTACTTGTACATGTACATAGTCTGAGTTACTTACATACATTTATGGTACTTGTACATGTACATAGTCTGAGTTACTTACAGACATTTAAAATTATTAAAAAAGGCAGGCTATTCGTGCTGAACTTCATTAGAAACTACCTCGAATCTCTTAAACAGAACGACAGGAAAACTGAACCTCCTAAATAAACACAAATAAACAAGCACTTGTATATAACTTATACATACAAAGCCACATGACAACTGCAAGTGACATAGAAGTTTCAAAACTTGCTTTGTCCATTTTCACCTCGGATCACAAAACCTTGGAGATTATCAAACCAGATATCGAAGAAGGTCAACTTCTGAAGTTCAACAATCCCATGTGATCACAAAGACAGTTTAAAATTGTTGGGTTTTACTTAAGAGCGATTCTAAGACTGACTTGAAGGGATCAGTAGTGGACGTCTAAATACAACACATTCTAGAAAGATGCAAATATTTTGAAATTCTAGAAATAAAGTTATATACGGGTAGGCGTAATATTATGAAAATCACATGAAAAGTCATTACCAACACACATGAACAGCCATTCGTAAAACTTTAAATATGTGTTTTATTCACTTCACACTGATGATGCTTAGTTTAATATATATATATATATTACCTGTGGTTGCACTGCTGGCACGCGAAACATTCCAAATGATACACGTTTCCTCTGGCTCTCATCACCATCTCAAAGGCCGGGATGGTTTTGTTACATGCTGAACATAACCCTGTTGTTCCAAACAATCTGAAAAATACAAATGGAACAGTTAACTCCCATACTCTATTTGTTTCAACCAATCCGTGTTGTAGAAGATGTACCAATTACTTCAATAATCATTACTTCCAATTAACATGTAACGAAGAAAATGTTTATCTGAAACAAACTTAGATAGCAATAAATTTGATAACATTAAGAAATAAATAGTTCATTCGAAACTTTCGTCAAAATATTTCAAACTTTTATACAAAAGTTCATGTAATTTTCAAAAAAATGCCTTCGTTTTTCACTAAAATAATTAAAGAAAATGCCAAAACAAAGAGATTACTATAGTACAATACATTGGAACAGTTGTGATGTCTTAGTCCACTTCCTTGTCCATGGAGGCCACACAGCCAAATTCAAATTGAAATAATTTTCATAAAGCATTCACAAATAAGCTTAATATACTTATATTTATTATACACATTTATGGGCTAATTATTTTTTCTAAGTCTAACTGGATACAATCTGAGACACAGATGACTGTCCAGTACACTGAAGATAAATCTATACTAAACTCAGAAACAAGTTGAATCCATTTATCTAAAAGACAAAAATTAAATCTAATTTTTGTTTCTCACTAAGAAAAAAAAATCGAAATATGTGATTTGGGAACTTTAGGCAACTGTTAGGACTAATGATGATGAACATACTTGTACTTCAAAATAACATCTGGTCTCGTAGAATCCTTTATATTGAAATTAGAAATGCTTCTGGTACTAGTAGTTGTTTGTTTCAAAATAACATCTGGTCTCGTAGAATCCTTTATATTGAAATTAGAAATGCTTCTGGTACTAGTAGTTGTTTGTGGCTCTGGTACTGCTGCCAGAGGAACAATTTCCAGGTGCATCCAATGATTGCTATTAGTTTTTCTTTTTAATCATTAAGAGATCTACTGTTCACAACGAGATGAAAAATACTGGTTAAGCAAACACCTTGAATGTTCAGCAATCATGTGTTCACACTATAGAAACTTTAGAGGCATTAAATACCCGAACATTAGGCACTTTATCCAAGTTTCTCTCTCTCTCTCTCACTATTTTTTTTAGTTTAATGTACAAAGTTTTTAATGGCTCGCTCATAATATATATTTCGCATCTTCCTGATATTCTTTTTTTTATTTTGGGTATTCCGAAAGCCCAATGAGGTAAAGAGAGATCATGAAAACTATCTCTTGGTCGTTCAGAAATTGGCAGCATTTTTTCTTCTGCAGAGGCTACAGTAGGTTGTTGAAGTATTAGAATTTCTTGAGATAAGTGGGTGCTTAAGAGTTATATTATGTATAAAGTTACGGTGATTTTGGGTTTCATTTACATTTCCAGGAACGGTTTTTCTAAACCTCGTTAGTCTCTGGTTAACATAGCAACAGGATTCGGCACGTTTCTCTCTCTCTCCCTCTATGCCTTACGAGAGAAATGAGGCGTGTTAGAGGCTTAAGGTTACCCTTAATCTCAGACGAGTCGTGAATTTCTGCACCCAATGAGACGTGATTTGTGGGGAGAAGCTCTCGTGCTGATTCTGTAGCAGCTGGTTTACAACCTTTTGATGATCGTACACTAAACGATATAATGCTTTGTACCTTAGCATCACGTTGCCTAAATTTGTTGACTTTAGAAACTAAAGCATTTTAACCTTACTGTGAATAGTTTCTAGCTTGTTTAATGGTGAACGCTTCTAGAATCTTAAATTTAAAAATATAAAATATATGCACACGCAAGATATGGAAATATATCCATGCACAATTTACTAAACGTATTTCAAACTTCCGAGCTCTGAATTAATATCACACTGATTTACAAAAAGTTAGAGACGAGCAGGCTCCAGTAATAGCTTCAACTTGTACTTGTCTATTACAAGTTTCATTTTGAAAATCCTGTAGGACGGATTTCACGCCGGGACGATAAGAAAATCATTTTACTTGGAGCATTTTGTAATATATTATAGTTTTCTAAAATCGGACCGATTAAGACGAAAATATAAACACATAAATCTTTTTTTACTTATTTTATGAAGGAAATGAGATAATTTACAAAGCGTTCCATCGCTCGAGTTGAGTTTGGATTAAATTCAGAGTAGCAATGCACTTTCGGAGATATATGATAGTCCCTTAACTTCATGTGAATAAATTTCTCATCAACTGTGGTCCTAGTTAATTGGTGGAGCTTATTACATCTATTAATTACAAAGTTACAGGGAATAGAAACCCATTATGGTTGTTGGTCGACCAAATGAAGCCATAAGTAGTAGTCGAAGCGGCGAGCCTGTTTCTATGTAAGCCTTGACTAAAACCCTGCCATTAAACTCTCCAGCTTTCATTAAGTTTATAGTGGTATCGACTTATATCGGAAATGTAATGGACTTAAAAACCACATTAAGTCCGAAGCGTTATAAGTGTTTTATTTTCCAAACAGCCGGACGTTTGGGAAATAAGACACTCACTTTGTGATAACAACGTTTTTATTCGTGTCATGTAGACTTGATAGAATGTCATTAGCCGTAATAAAACCAAGCCTAGATATACGTCACCTTAAAATGTCCCGATAGATACACAGGTACACTCACATTGCAGCAAGGTTACGGGTTGTGGTAGGTTGACAAACACTTGGGTGTTAATACCTGTATTAATGACATGTCGTCAAGCTCGTTACCTGTAGTAATGGCATGTCGTCAAGCTCGCTGTTGCCTGATCTGCATGAGAATTAAGTGTGGATATACATTTTAATTTTTCATCTACTTTCGATGGCCAAAGCACAGATAGCCCATTGTATAGTTTTACGCTTAACAACACCCAAACCCAAGAATGGGTATGGTTGTATTCCAACGTAACTGCAAATTCACTGGGTTAGTAGAGAGTACATTCGTATTGTTATAGTATTCTTTCAAACATACTGTAGGTGTGAACGTGCTTTATAGTCACTATACATTAGATAGGTGAAGAGAAGAAAAAGTGCCATTGGCCACTATTCACTTCTTCACATTATATAGCCAATGACACTGTTTTTTCACTTTACCTATCCAGTGTATAGAAACTACAAAGCACGTTCACACCAACAGTATGTTTGATACTTTTCACTATGATATAGGTCCAGCTTATCTCTCTTTGGTTAACTTGGGTTTAGGGTTACTGATGAGGAGTGGAATTCTCCGAAACTAGTATAACCCAATAACACACGTTGATCAAAGTGTAGACTGAACTGGACTTTTCTTGAACTTAGACTTCGAAATTAAACAATCTTCGGAATATAAAGTTAATTTTTTGCATTCTTTCATTTCGCAAATTAAATTACTAACATTTAGGGATAGGTTTCTTTGTTTCAGAGGGGCTACCTACGCGTAGTTGTCCCCAGTTTTGAACTGATAGACAAGAGGAATGCATTTGGTCAACAACACCTACAGACAACCCTTGGGATACTAATTTCTTACCAATAGTAAGATTTGACCGTCATTCTTATAGCTTATCCACGGCCCCAAGTGAGGAGTGTATTCCTACGGCAGTGGGACGCAATCCTTGAACTCTCGGATTCATAGTCCTTTACGCTAACCACAAGGCCAAGGTTGGCTTTTACGGTATGAAATAATTATATATTTTATTCGTAGATTATGAACTTTTCAAAGCCAAGCTCAAATCGCAAGATCGCTGGGCAGAGATTAAGACTAGGTCATAGATCAAGGTCACTTTGGAGATCAATGGTACATAGTAAGATAACAGACTAAAAAATGAAATAGTTGGCTTTCATACAGCATGTTTTAAGGTTAAGGATGTTCCAAAAATCATGCCTCAATAAACGAATCCAAAATTGAAAATCAAAAGTAAAAAAAAAAGAAAGAAAAAAAAAAACAAGATAAAATTATTATAGCTCTTGTAAGGGCTCGGCGTGGACAGGTGGTTAGGGCGCTCGACTCGCAATCTGAGGGTCGCGGGTCCCACCATACATGCTCGCCCTTTCAGCCGTGGGACCGTTATAATGTGACGGTGTATCTCACTGGTAAAAGAGTAGCCCAAGAATTGGCGGTGGGTGGTGATAACTAGCTGCCTTCCCCTTAATCTTTCACTGCTAAATTACGGACGGCTAGCACGGATAGCCCTCGTGTAGTTTGCGCGAAATTCAAAACAAATAAAGAAACAAGCTCTAGTAAGACGACAAACTGGTTGATGGCTGGAAATATAAAACTAATCACATAAAACAAGATTGGAAAAGGACACAAACTTAAAAAAAAAGTATGGCAATGGGTTTCCAAAAAGTATGGCAAAGGGTTTTCAGCATTTTTTTTCAAATATCTTAAAACATTACATTTTAGACAAACGTCATAATATTCATTGTTATTGTAAGCTACGTGTATTCGTGCTTTTTTCCTTTTTTTTTAGTGGGGGAAGGTATTGTTTTCTTATATTCCATTTCCACTGGGTATAAAAATAGGGCTAACAGGCTAGTCTGTTTTGGTTTTCCCTCTACCACTTAGTACACCTGAAGCTTACATGTAGTAGAGAAATAACTACGCCTATGTGTAATGTTGTTGTTTATCTTATTCTGTGCTAACTGCAGTGTCAAAGACATAATAAACAGTATGAAAACGACCATAAGACTGGAAGAAAATTATATATATATATATATTCAACCTTTCATTTTACAGTTAAACTTGAAAATTTGTACTGAAAACTCACGAAGAAGCTTTAAAACGAAACGTTATGTGAATATAATTTTACCTCATCCCATCCCCTCGAAGCCTTAGGATCGTATTCATGATGTTTATAATCTTAGCATTGTTGACTTATTTGCTGGAGAATCATTTATAGAATCGGATGTAAGAAACCTGGAATATCGAAGAACACAATGTTCACCATGCATCTGGAGAGACGAGAACAATATCTCAGATCCCAACTCACTATCGTAATCGCTTTACGCATACAAAGGGGTCATCCGTGTATTACATAGAGATTTTTTAAGAGTACAATGGGTATAGAAAAAACACAGAGATCGTTACTT